ACTCACAGGAACAAAATTCAGGTCGCTCAGAATAGAGTGCTGAGGATGGTTCTTGATCGTCCTTTCGACACTAAAATAACAAATTTACACGAAGAGGCAGGAATTGCCAAAATAGATTCAAGAATTAACGAAATTAAGACTAAATTTGCAGAAAAATGTAATTTATCAGAACATGTTTTGATAAGCAATTTGTATATAGTAGGTTAGGTGTATATAGTTGTAGGTTAGTTGTAGTTGTAAATAGTAGTTATAAGTAGTCTCCTTTTTCCAATTCAAATCAAACCAATCTCACCAAGGTGGTCATACTTTCAAATAGGCCTGATAGGACTAGTAACTGTAAATAATAATTAAAATCTCAAATGAACTAAAGTTGAAAAGACGCATCTGTGTCACTTGAAAAAATTCATAAATGTAAACCACACAAACACAAGAAATAAAGATCATTTTAAGTAAGTAGGGAAGAGCGCTACTTCGTCGTAATCGCCCATTTCCGTTCTATCGAGCAGAAATCATCAATAATATCAATGATTTCACAATGCACAAAACAATAATACGTTTGTTCCGATGCGTTAGTTCATTAGCTACAACATAAATCCTATTAGAGCGCATTGTATGCATATTTACGCTCATTGTTCTCAAAACAAAAGAAGCGCTCCTAGCGCATCCCCTTTTTCTCCGTTTATCCGTAGGACGAAGAAAATCTAATAGCGTTTCAATGCGTTTGGACGGAATTGAAACGCGTAGGACGAATTTAGAAGCAAGAAGCAGTGTTAGATTTTTAATAATATCTCAACATTGTTTGACTCTTTATCAAATCCAACGGTACGTATGGAAAGGTGGATAAATTTAGAAGTTATCTTTGATGAAAACATTCCATGTTTTGTTCAAACCCTTTCCAAAAAGCGTGGTAAAGTGTGGGATGTCCTTAGTAGGACGGAAATTAGATCAAAAACCCTAAGTAAAAAAAAAACTGGTATCAGCTCATTTTCGCTTCGGACGGCGTGGTGAGCAATAGTGTAGCAGTAGGTCGTGGCAAAGGAGGTGCCAATCGTCATCGCAAATTCTTCGAGATAACCACCATCCGTCGTCTGACTCGCCGTCGCAGTGTCTGACGTATCTCCGGTCTGATCTACGAGGTGTGCTGAAGGTGTTCGTGGAAAATGAGGTCCGTGATGCTGTCACCTACACTAAACACGCCAAGCGTAAGTGGCCATGGATGTCCTCTTCAATAAAACGGCCCTTTTCAGGGCCATCAAGCTTACATCAGTAAAGAGTTGGAATAGAATTTATCTATGCTTGTTTGTCCATATTCACAAGCCCCCAACGACCACACAAACTTGGAAGCAGGGGTGCAAGTGATTGTGATTGATTCAGGGTGGCCAGCAAACCGGGAAATCCGGGAATGCCGGGAAATATCCGGGAATTTGGAAAGTAACCGGGAAAACCGGGAAAAACCCGTGAATTCTGCAAGAGAACCGGGAAAATAAATTAACCATATCATAGGAACAAATTTTTACATCAGAATTTCAGAATAAAACATTAAAACAGAGTGATCCTTTAGCAAATGAATGTCTTGCTCTATTTGTTGCATAATTTTCTTCAGTATACCGTCTTATTGTTTTTAGAATTTAATCACTCAGCAATATTGCAAATTGATTTTTGTCGTTTCAATTTCAGATGTAAAGTGCATGGTCCTCTAAAGAAAATATTGAAGATGCTGGAGTTTGGAAACAAATATTTGTAAAAACCGAAACTGAATTATTCTTTTCCGGGGTTTTAATTTTTCGTTGTTCAAAATTCTCATGATGAATTCCAGAATTAACTTGGAATTCTGCTCTGAATTATCTTGAAATTGTTCTGAAATAAACCAGAAAACACTCCGCGTAATAATTACCGTTGAATTCTTTTAGGAATTTTCTTCCAACCCCTTCTAAGAATTTATTGGAATCCTTCATATAATTCCCGTTCCCGCCTATCTGGAGACTTTGATTCCTTTAAAAATCTTTTCAAACATTTCTTTTAACTCTATTCAAAACAAAAGAAATCTTTCGAAAATTAATTTATAAACCCCTTGGAGTATTTTAAAGAATTTCTTTCTAATTATCAGTAAATTTTTTGGAATCAATTTTGTTTGGGTTATGTGATGAATCATTCGCACTAGGGTTGAAATTATTGCCAGAACATTTTAAGAACTCTGTTTCTTGTTGAATTCCGATCATAATTATCTTGGAATTCTTCTTAAAATTTATCTGTCATGTTCCTCACGATGCCCATACAAATCTCATCAGAACCACGTAGGAATTTTCTGCAATGTTTTATTTTAATTTTCACAATTCTTTTTTAATCTACTAAAATTACCTTACAGTTTAATTTAGAACTTGCATTCTTCTCCAAAGAAATCCTTCCAAATTCATCTAACAATTTCTATGGATTTCATGTAAGGATAATTCTGGAAATCTGCTCTTTTCCTTCGAAAACTGTGTGGCAATCCTTCTCAATATTTGTTTTTAATCAACACTTTGAATTCTTTTAAATTTTACTAAAAATTCCAGGGTTTGTCCGCCAGATTCTACAGATTGCTATGTAATTTGTTATTACCCTTAAAATGCTTCCAAGTCTCAGAGCGTGACAATTATGACTCAACGACTCATAAGTATGATGTTTTTTTTTATAAATCTGTGATCTTGTAAAAAATTCAAAATTTCACATTTTAATTATTGTTTCTCCAAATCTTGCATCACAAAGCATGTTAATAATCACAAATTTTGAAGAAAAGTTCTAGTTTCAGACTCTACACAAATTTCAAAGCTCCAGAATCTTGGGAATCTTTTTAAATCACATTTTTTTTTTATCCTATCAGTAAATATTGTTTTTTTTTTTTTTTTTTTTTTTGTTGCATATTAGGGTAATAACAACCGGGAATTTTTAAGATTTGAACCGGGAAAACCGGGAAAAAACCGGGATTTTCAAAATGAAAATTCACTGGTCACCCTGATTGATTCTCGTAATCAACTTTCTTTTTGAAAAAGATTACTACAAATTTGGATCGCCTACAATTCAAAACCGGAAAGAGTTGAGATAATAGATATTTCAGGCATAACATTTGATAACGGCACAAAAGCATTTGTAAACAAACCTTCTTAGGCCCTTTACACGCGAACCAAAGTACGCCCACGCAAACCAACAACATCATCGCATAGGGGCAACTATCACCTTTCCGTAAGTGGGATTGGTTTGCGTGGGCGTACTTTAGTTCGCGTGTAAAGGGCCTTAGAATGTTTGTTTACAAATGCTTTTGTGCCGTTATCAAATGTTATGCCTGATTTGATCAATTAAAAGAACTTAATGCTCTTCACATTTATTCCGTCCACTAGCGGTCCTACGTCAAGCTTCCGTTTGTGCCCCTAGGCACAGACCCTTCTACTTTTGAAATTATCTTAAAATTGTCTTCATAATTTCCTGTGAATAACATTCATCATCAAAATAGCCTTGAAATTCTTCATAAATGTCATATGGAATTGTGTCATACTCTACGGAGCATAGTACATCCTCTTCATACGCTAGAACACTGCTCAACATGTGCCTCTCTCCTTCCTGGTGGGTGAAATTGTAAAATTTATTGAAACTAAAATAAAACCAGAAAGAGACAACCGGAGAGCAACACAATCGGAGAGCTCTTCACGCTCAGAATATAGACCAAAAAAAAAAGTAAAGAGTGTACCAACATAAACGTTGCTTCTTGTTCTTCCGCTCACATATCTTACGCTTTTTTGAAAAATATCCAGTAGGTAGGTTATACCGGTAAACCAACTCCGTAAAGCGATCGGCCCCGAACTCGATCCACCCGAACTTGAATAGTGGTCATTAAACGAGCGAGAAGGCAACGGAACAACAACAACAAAAAAGTAAAAATGATAGAGTTAAAGGATTGGTCTCGCTCTGACCAAGAGTACATATCACTCCTGGGCGGCTTGATATAGAACACGACGATTGAAACATTGAAAACAAACGCTCACTGGGATGTGGATGGATGGATGGATGGGAGGCGGAAAGGTGTGCAACGAGCGCTCCATTGGAGCCGAGCCGATGATCCGGAGAGCTCCACCGCGCGCAATCTTCTTCTTGTTCTCTAAGCACAAGCATAAAATTGAACACACAAAAAGTAGTGAGCGAAAGAACCTCCTCGCCTCACTCCCAGCACCCAAGCATAAGGGGGTGGTGAGTGAGTGAGCGTTGTTGTACATCATCAAAGCATGTCACGCCGAGTGAGTGATGATGGAGCGAGAGAGAGTAGGTGAACAAGGATGCTGCGCATAGTTGCGGTTTGCGCAAATACTGGCCGGTCCTGCTGCCAGGACAAGGATTCAAATCGGAGTCAGTTCAGTATTGCTTTGGCAATTCGTTCGGCAGCAAGTTGCGAATGTCGTCGGTGTGAGTTGGGCGCTGAGTTCGTCCGTTTGTTCGTTCGAGTTGGGCAGGTTTGTTTTTCTTTAGATTCCGTTTTGCTCGTCCTGTGAGTGACCTGACTGGTTGGCACTTGTGCATGTTTTTGCTCGTGCGAGCGGTGGGTGGGAGCGCACTGAGTGCCGCGAACGAACGCTCGCTCTCTTCTCGATTCTTGCTTGCTCGCTCTCCTTCATCTCCGCGCAACACGGAGTTTCTTCGCCGTGTACTTGTGTGTACTTACGGTTTTTGCGCTTAGTGCTTGCCTTGCATACATAGACGTTGAGCGCGTACTTCATCATTCGTTCGGTAACGCTCGCATCGTGTGCACACACATATTGTGCTCTCACTCGTCTGCCGTCTTCGATCGTTCGGTTGTTCGGTGGCCGCTTCCTTCTGTTGTACTCGCACTGTCTTGCTTGTCACGGTGGCGCACTTGAACACTCTCCGCAACAACAAGCAACTTCAGTTGCACAGCGTGAGTGATAGAGGGAGGAAGTGTACGGTACCATCGTAAGCTCCGCACGGTTTTGAACACCTTACACAAACAGGTACACAATACGCCCCAGCTTCGAGTGGAGGAGATCCTCGTGAGTCACACGCGCGCGGGGGGTTACGGAATCCTGAGACCAGTCAGTCTGCAAGTCGCGCTTCGCGGATCCGGAACACTCCGTCAACAGTCCCGGCACTGTCGCCGCGCTGGAAATCAAGATAAACAATCTTGAGTTGGTTGAGTGTGCATTTTGTGGTTCGTTTTTTTTTTTTACGTGGTGCGGTTCTTTTGACAGGAAGTGCGTGGGATCGTGTATCGTTCGGGAGACAAGTGCAGAAGGAGGACAGTTTGGGTCTTCTTCGGCTTTGTTTTTATTGCTGAACAGGTGCAAATCAAATGATCGTTGTGAAACATAGAACAAAATTTGTTGCCAATTTTCCGGTGGAAGATCGCAGTAGGCGCAACCGACTTTTTTTTTTCTTTCGAGAAAAAATCAAACGAAGAGCCTACTTTGTGCAACGGAAAATAAGAACGTAATTTATCTCGTGTTTTCGGTCAGTGTCAATTTGATGAATTGTTCGCTTATCGATTAATTTCCCGTGGAGCTGACCAAATATCAGCGGCAAGCGAGCGTGATAACAGCGTCCATAGAAGCAATTAATTTCCACACCTTCAAGTGCAATCAACGCGGGATTCAACGGCTTGAGCTCTATCAGCTTACGCCTTGTGATAAAAAAAAAAATAAATAGAACACACTCTATTAATCAATTATACCTGCTCCCTCCAATAATCGGGAACCGACCAGAGCGCGCTGATAAGTGAACTGCTGAGAAGATTTCGTCAATCATGTTTATCGTCATCAGTTGTTTTCAGTTTTTGATTAAATTAAATTAATAACTCGGAACGTCATTTGCCGAAGCAAAAAAATAACAACAACAGAACACAACAAAAATAAAGCAATCAGACCATGTCTGGTAGTGCACGTATGTGATTGATAAAACAGCGAGTAAAAAATGTTAGGACACGGGAAAACAATCGAAAAAGTTCGTAATTAATCAACACTTTGATTGATATTGATTAAAAGCGAGTGATAACATGCACGGCGACAGTGTCACCGGTGTCGCTCGATCGTGCCAGCAACGGTTTCGAGAAATTTAATTAATTTTTTTCGCGCCTCCTCGCTAGTATCTCTCGGGCTGTTTGCGGTGTGTCCATCCGTCGTGTGTGTATATGTCATATTTCAAGTGCAGCATGTGACAGTACTCTGGAAACAAAAACAATGGCACATTGCTTCAGAACGTCAAGCGAGAAAACAAAATATGAAAAGCAATAATAACAACAGAGTGAATTGAAAACGCTACTAGAATATGAATGTGATTGGAACGACCGCAGCAGAAAAGTGTTCGTGAACGTTTCGTTGTTTGAGCCGTCGCTTCTTCGACCAGTCCGTCAGTCAGTCAGTGTTGTCTGTTTGGCCAACCATCCGTCACATGAGTGAACAAGTGTGCGGAAAGAATATGTGCTGCTGATGCTGATGCTGCTTCTGCTAGAACCTGATCATAGCAAGCCCTGTGTCGCTGCACTGCACCACTCGGCCTACTGTGGGATAGATGGTGAGAGCACCCTTTTCTGTTTTCCGATTTATTATTAATCACCCTCGTTGCATCGGCGGCAAACGACCCTCTGCTGCTAAACCCCGGAACCGGATCGCCCTAACCTCACAAATCAATAGAGACCGTCGTCATTTTCCCGATTAATCGATCCAGGCCGAGCAGTCAGCTGTTCCCTTCTAAAAACAGCGTCTCGTATTTACCACCTCCCAAACAGGGTTCCCTGAACTTCGGGTCCTCAAATCTCATAAATCTCCTCCCTATGTAGGTAGCTGCTCTCACTCGTCGTCGCCGTTCTAGCAAATCTCACTTTTCCCTACTCGTCCTGGTGGTGATGGTGGTGGGACCGGAGGGAAAGGATGATGGTCCCGGTCGTTTGCGAATGATGATGATGATGATGACGACGACGACGACGACGTTGATGATACTCACTGGGATCTTCTTACACATAGTTTATTGATTTTCCCCTTTGGTGTGCCCTGCCTGGCATGTGCATCTGCGGGAAAATCGTGCAAATTAATCACCGCCTGCACCTCTTCCTCTTCCTGCTTCGGTTGTAACGTTGCACAAATTCTGGACCTTCCATGGAATCGCAAATCGATTAGTACCAACAACTCACGCACGCGATTCGATTTCTGAGAGGTTGTGAGTTGATCCTAAAAATAACGTGAAAACTCATAACTCAGAGATTTAATTATTAATCTCGGTATTTTTTTCCCTCGGATTTTTGCGAGCGTTTGCTCTTTCTTCCCTGGACTTCCGGGCGAGAAGATATTAGGGGTTTGGTGTTGATGATGATGATGATGGCTAAAATGTAAATGATGGTGGAAATTGCGAAAATTGTGCGACCGGGAGATGAGCGATAAACACAGGGAACCCCTTTCTCCGCCAGGAAGGGCGATTTACTTTCAAACGGATAAATATCAGGGAAGGATTTCTGGATTCATTGAAAAAGCAATCGGTGTGGCAGTTTTCCATGCAATTCTGTCGACAAATCATACATGAGCTGTACCTCGATGGATGCTAATTTGTCTCCCTACTGACCATATGAACTGTGAAAGATTTGCACGGAATGGGTTCTTAAAATAGAAACGATTAAGGAGAAGATTGATGGAATCCTTCCATTACGCGTTTTCACGAGCACTAATCTCAACAATCATATGCATCACTTCATAATATTTTAAGTCAAAATACTCAGATGTTTGTGTACGTCGAAGTTTGATCAATTGTTCCTGCGATAAAATAAATGATGTCTGCAGTTTACAGATCTTTTCACCGCATGAATGGTGAGGTTCGTGTTCTTAAAAGTAACTCCTCAAGTGTGGACTAGTCTGCGCGGAGTTGTTCCATTGAAAAATAAAAATAAAGGGGCATCATCTACCGCCATTTTAATAAGTACTGGTTGAGTTTATTGAATCACATTTTTTAAGAAAATCAATGGAACGTCTTTAAGACTTTCTATATAACGGCGATTTATAAATCATAATAATTCAGAATTGCCGTAGGAATACTAGCACTTCTCTTTCATTGGTACTCGAAAGTCTAACTGCTCAATTCAAATAAACAGATAGCATTAAAACGCAGCCCTAATCTAGTCTTAAGGTGACTGTTTTTTATCCCACACATAGAAATTTTGCAATGTGTCGAACACATATTTAATATGTGTACACATAAAAGCCATTTGTGACCACACATGCTATTCATTTGAAGCATAAATTTCATATGTACCTACTCCTGAATGGATTCTGTTTATGTGTAATCACATAAAAATCATGTGGAAGTCAAAATATGAAGGCTTTTGTGATTGCACGTAGCTGACACTACTATTTGTTGTTTGCTGCATTACAATGTCTGTAATTTACAGATTTATAAAGCTTGTAAATCTTCAGATTTGTGCTCTTGAAATTGCGAAGAGTGATCAAAAACAGGACTCTACACGGAAACACCTTAAATTCTTATGTAAAATAGTGCTTCAATGCCTATCTGATTGCAGTGATCTGTGTTGTTTGAGTAGAAAGACGTTTCCTGTCTTTAGGGTTATGATTTGGGGCTTGTAAGCATCGTATAATCGTATAATCATAGCACTTTAAGGAGATCATATAATGCTGGTACTGGGTTTCAATTATTCTATCGCTCATAGGCACTACGCAATGCTGATTAAAAGCTGTTTAACACTAGCAGTGCTGCATTTGAGCTGATTTAAGGCTTTGGACTAATGATTTTGGATGCTTGAGAACTGAAACATAGAATAAACTGCATCAAAATATGTAGCAATCTTTCGTATCAGTTGCATCAAAAAATAGGTTCGCAGGTAGCAATTTGATACTTAACAAGTGTTCTTTCATCGATTTCAATTCAGCCTTAGTTTGAATCATTGTTGTACTCTTCAACTTTAAATCATCTGGTTTTGATGGTTTTCATAGGCTGGCCACTAATCCGGGAAAACTGGGAGAACCGAGAATAATGTTTTGATGAAAGTAATAAGAAATTTCCCAGAGAAGACAGTTTGAAGAAACTTCCAGAGAAATCTGAAGAATGTTTCAGAAGAAATCGAAAAAAAAATCCGATGGTGGGCAGAAGTAATTTCCGGGTGACACCAGGAGCCGGGGGAGTCAGAAGACATCTGCATACGAAGCTTGAAATACTTATCAAGGAAGTCAAACGAATCACCCGGGAATGTAGAAAACACTTCTGTGATAGTTAAAAACGATTGAATTAAAACTTACAATGAAAGTTTAAAGAAATTTGCTGAAGAAGTTGGATGAATTTCCAGTGGAAGTCAAAAAAAGCTTTCGTGGAAGCCAGAAGAACTTTTGGAAGAAGCTTCGTAAGTCGCAAATATCTTCTGGGCTAAAAGAAACTCTCAAGAGTAGTCATAATCAAAAATCCGGAAGAAGTCCGAAGAAAATTCGGAGGCAGCATGTACATTTTATGCGATGTAAACAACTTTATACTTTTCTGGTCCCTGAACTAAAATATTTCCCGATTCCCGGGAATTCCCAGAAAGAGCCATCAGCTGTTTCTCGTTTCCCGTGAAATGGACAAACACTTGTATTCATATTAATCGAATTCTGTTAATAAATGTTCAAACACAAACAAAGTCCGATGTCTTGAATATTTCTTTTGAAACCTTGATTATTTCTTCAAGCCGGGAAATTTTTACTTTCCCATAGTACAGGATACGAAAAATTAAGTCTGAGATCTAAAAAGTAAACAAATGTCCCAAAAGTCTGACATTTTGATTATTATTTTTTTATAATTTTGGAATGTTTCATTTTATATTTTTTTCCCTCTGTTCTGGACCTAACACCACTGCTACCTGTAATTTGATCTATTGTAGTATATCCCGTATCCTTAGTTTAGTGCATGTCGTATTAATCCATCGCTATTGAGAAATGATGAAATATTCGATTTTTTTAGTTGTCATTCCCGCATTTATCGCAAGGATCCGACTCTAATTGAAAGGTACCGCTCTTTATACCCTTCGGAGTGTTGGAACACCCTCCAAAGGCGCACCCCTTTGTCAATCAAAATTGGATTCCTTAGCAACAAAATTAAGGAATGACACCGATAATGACCATGCATCAGAACCCTAGTCTTAACCACTTCAAACTAGGAAACAACGAATAGAAGATTATGAATCACATAGATGAAGACTAACTAACTCATTTTTTCCTTGTTTCAAGATCATCCTCGGTGGACAAAGCCGAGTCTTGCCACTATCAACAAGGCATAAAAAGTAACAAGGACTAAGATGTTCCTCGGATTACTGAAA